CTCTGCCCAGGGCTGGAACAGCCAGAGGTCGGCAAGCATTGTCTATACAAAGCCACTTAGTAAATATTTTAGGCTTTCAGGCCATATGGTCTCTGTCGCAACCACTCAGCCATTGTAACATGAAAGCAGCCATCGACGGCACATAAGCAAACGGGTAAAACAGTATTTTCAAAAACAGGCCATGGGCAGAGGAGATCCGGCTCACGGGCTGGAACTGGCTAACCCTGGACAGGCCAGGATGTGCACCGCTTCCTCCTGCATTCACCACTCCCGGGGCCCTCATCTTGCCGCAGGTCCCCAGCGTTTCACTGAGGGACACAGAGCATTATGGTTCAATGTGTGCTCCGTAGAAACAATAGAAAGTTCCCTCATCCCCTAGTGCCCCGGAAAACGTCTAACGCCCTCTTTCTAGTGCACACAGCTGACAGTGGGGCCCATCGGCAGAAGCAGCAGTGTCCAGATAGATCATTTTAATAGGGAAAATGGTCCCTTCTCATTAGGCATTGGTGCTCCGAGTCTGGCAAAACAGAAGAGAAACTAGACAGTAAACAAGTCCAATGTAGTCTCAGTATGAATACGGTGTTTATAATGGGGAAGGGCTTTATAGGAGAGAAATGGGAGGTAAGTGGGCTGTCTTTGAAATCCTGGGGGGGGGGGCTTATTTTTAGTTCATACTGAAATGCCCAGTCAGTAGCTTGTGATGATTCGAGAAACGGAGGTCAGCACAGTCCTGAGGTTTTATACCATTAATTTCACCCTGCACTTGAAAAATGCTGGATTGAAAGCATTTACTTGGGGAGAACCTCCACCCTGAGCGCCTTGGGGTAAAGCATATTTTCTCAAAGTATCCCCTGAGGAGCAGAGCAGTGGGGGTGAAACTACACTCCGGAACCGGCAGAACTGGGAGGACATGGAGGTAAATACAGTGATGTCCGACGAGGCCACCAGGGCTCAGCTTGAACCTGCCGTCCAGTGGGGTGGGGGCGGGGCACTGTCGGGCCCAACCATCTATTTTCCTGTCCATAAATTTCTAAGGACGGTTATGGAATGAGAGGCAGTGGGAAGCTTGTTGAGGTATTGCCCGCTTTGGGCCCCTGAGTGAAGAGGACAGCATATCCATGCTGCAANAACCTCCACCCTGAGCACCTTGGGGTAAAGCATTTGGGCCCCTGAGTGAAGAGGATAGCATATTCATGCTGCAGAAACAAGCTTGCCCTGGAAACAGGAGGCGGCGGGCTGGTTGGGAGGAACTGGGGTGTGAGGAAAGAGCAACAAGGCCTGAATCCTGCAGCAGCTCGCGTGCTGCCCCGGGTGAGTCCCTTGCCTCTCACAGCCTCAGCTTGCTCATCTGTAAAATGGGAGTCATAATTCCACCTTCAGAGTGCTACCAGTATCAGGTGAGATGAAGGTGAAAGTACGTAGTGAACTCTACAGGACTAAACAAGCTACGGTAATAATAGCCAATAACTATTGGCCACTGCCAGTGCGCCAGGCACTGTGCTAGCAAGTGTGCTTTCCATGCCAATTTTAAGGGCACGGCGTCGGCCCACAGTGCTCCCCCAAAGATGTCCTTTCCTCATCCCAGGAACTTATGAGTGTAAGGGACTTGGCAGATGGGACTGAGTGTCATGAGAGGGGGAATTATCCTGGATTAGGCTCTAACTGTCACCCATCACGAGGGTCTTCCTTAGAGAGGAACAGGAGAACACATGCACAGTAGGAGATGTCACAAAGAAGTAAGAGGCTGGAATGACTGGAGGAAGGGGCCACGATCCGGGGAATGTGGGTGGCAGCCTCTACAGGCTGCAACACGCAAGGCGGCAAATTCTCTTCCTGATGCTCCCAGAAAAAACGCAGTCCCGTGGACCCACTTTAGACATCTGACCTCCAGATGATTAGGAACAAATTTGTGTTGTTTTAAACCACTAAATTATTGGTAACCTATTTCAGCAGCAAGAGACAGCAAACAGAGGCATCACTCCCAGAGTCAGGCTTGTCTGGACTCACGTCCCGGTACCACCACTCACTTCATCCAGGAGATGGAATTGATAACAAGGTGCCCGCTTCCTAGGGTGGGGGAGGAATTAAGCGAGATGGTACAGCTAGGACCCTTAGCCCAGGGCCTGCCTGGCATACAATAACCCCTCAGTCAATACAGACCATTGTTAGCATCATATCATTTAATCACCACTAAAGCTGCATGAGATCAGTGCTGTCATGATATCTCCTTGTCATAAAGGGGGAAACCTAGTAAGATTAAGAAACTTTACTTAGGGTCCCACAGGCCGTAAGTGGCAGAGCCGGAATCTGAACCAGGTCTCTGCTTTCAAGGCCCACCCTTACCAGCTCTGCTCCGCTGTGTCAGGTTATGACAGCAACGCCTCCATCAGATGCCAGCGGTTCAGGCACGGGCACGAGAACCAAACAGAGCACAGTGCTCCCTGCGCAGGCAAAGGCCACCCAGACCGGAAATCAAATGGATCTGTGTTTATTAAGGAAACAGAAAGTCTAGCTGCCACGGAGATCAGCATCTAAGAGGTTACCAGCCCTCCAACATCCCTGGGCTAGCCAGCCCCACACCGCAGATCATGGGAGTCTGAGTACTGTGTTTAGTCATTTTGGTCCTGGAATAATTGCTATTATCGTAAATGTTTTATAGCCCTCATTACAGCTCACATTTAAATATCAGTGTAGTAATACATTAATAAGTCACTGCAGGCGGACCACTGCCGGATGCAGTTAGGCGAAGCCCCGCATAGAGCTGCCCTGTCTGTTCAGCTAAATCAGGGCTGGCTGTGAACTCCACCAGGCGTCGGGGGCTGGGCCTGGTCGAAGGAGGCCGCTTTTCTGCAGAGGCGTCTCCTTGCCTCTGGGAGATACGGAGGTTCGGGCTGCTGGCTCGTAGTGGAGCCTGGAACCCTGGGGTGGAGAGAAGGGGAAATGAAGGCGTCATTTAGGGCATTTCTAATTGGATGGAGAAGGGGTGGGGGAGCATAATTCCCACCCCCAGGAAGCTCCCTGCTGAGGCCGGAGAGCTGGTCTGATGGGAGTGACAGGTTCTTCGGCCCTGTCTGATGAGATGTTCCGGATGCTTCCTGAGTGGGTGGGGATGGGATGGATTCACACACACTCAGAGGAAAGATAAGCCACATAAAACAAAACACCTCTGTGAGTCCAGCTTTCATAAAGTGCAAAGTGTGTGCACTGGTACGTGAGTAAAGTTGCAGAGTGGGCAGAGCAGGTCTGCCCATACCTTTTACCATGTGATACGCCTAAAATAATGCCGGACCCGTGGTGGGTGCATAATAAATAAGGGAGGGAGAGAAGGAAAGGATTAGGTTCTGTACCTTTGTGAAGACTCCTCCCTGGCCTTATTGGTCAAACAAATGCCAAGTAGTATGGGGGATTGAGGGGGATGTGATCTCTGGGATCCTGCTGTGAACTGGGGTCAGAGTGGCTGGGAAAGGGATCTGTGCAGGGCCCCTTGGGTGGGGTGGGTATGGGGCTACTGTGAGCTGGCTGAGGCTGCTTCTGTTTCCGTGGGGGTGCAGTAGGGGGAACAGGAATGACCAGAGAGGACCAGATTCTCTCCACCAATGTCAATAAATGGTAGCCCCCATTTACCGAGCACATACTGCAGGCTAAGCTTTTTACCCACCTGTGAGGTGGGACCATCACCTGCCTCCATCCGCCAGGGAAGAACCTGTGGATAACTAGGCTCTGTAAGACTCGGTTTAAACCACGTGTGCGTCAGGTCACAGGGCTGTGGTAATGCCCACAACAGAAAATGTCAGAGGGCATTTGAAGAGGAACGTAATTGTTCACCAAGAGCCAGAGGCAAAAAACACCTGCTAACTGACCGGGAAAGGCCGCCTGCTACATACCATCTGTGCCTCTGCGGGTGGCCTCCTTGGCCATGCCTTCCCTGGGCTTCCATAACAGGCTCCCGTAGAAGGGCAAGCCCAGGGCTGTCGCGCCTACAGCCCCATGTCATCCCTTGTCTGCCTTATTTCATTCCGATCCACCCATAGAGCTGCCATCTCTCTCTTCCCTTCTCACTTACAAAGAAGCCAGTCGGTGCCAGTGTCCCGAGGTGGGAGTTCCCACCTGTGGCCATGGACGTGCACAAGGAGGGGGAGACTTCCTCCCGGCCTCTCAGGCTCACTTAAGATAGATGAGAGCCTGGCCAGGCGTGGCTCAGCGGTTGAGCATCGACCCGGGATCCAGGTGATCAGGGTTCGATTCCCGGTCGGGGCACATGCCTGGGTTGCAGGCTTGATCAGTGACTCTCTCATCATTGATGTTTCTATCTCTCTCCCCTCTCCTCTCCTCTCTCTGAAATCAATAAAGAGATATTTTTAAAATAAATAAATAAATAAATAAATAAATAAATAAATAAATAAATAAATAAATAAGATAGACGAGATGTGCTCGAAGAGCCAGAACCGCCTCTCCCCACGGCCTCCTCTGGGAGGCAGTGTGTGCACGGGGCAGTGCAAGGAGTTCGGAGCTGGGTTCAAATCCCATCTCCAGCGCTTCGCCGCGGCGGGCCCCTGGGAAAGCCGTCCCACCTCTCCACAGCTCAGCCCCCTCGTCTGTAACACAGAGAATGCCTCCTTGTAGGGCTGTGTGTGACTGAGCAATGTGTACCTGTTTCCCTCTCCCTAAATTGAGGACAGTAATACGCACCTGGCATTGTAGGTGTGAGAATTAGAGCTGTTGTGATGAAGCACTCAGCACGTAGTAGGCTTTCAGGAAGTGATATTATTGCTCCAGGTGAGCCAGTAAGTACTGAGTGGGCAGCGGAGGGGAGGAGGGATCCGCCCGAGAAAGGGAACCACGAATTCCCTAGTCTTTGGGAGATCCGTCCACCTGTCTCCGGCTGTTAATCCAGGGCCCCTCTTGCGGTCACATCCTTCCCTCCCCCGCTCCCATAAGCATTTCGGTGCCCCTCGGGCCGCCCCCTGCTGACTGTCTCCCTTTTTCCTCCATCTCCTCAGCACCCTCAACAACAACAACATCAGCCGCATCCTGGTCACCAGCTTCAACCACATGCCGAAGATCCGAACTCTGTGAGTAAAGGGCCCTGCCTCCTCCCCCCGCCCCACCCCCAGGCTCCCCAGCTAGGCTGCAGGAAGACTGCTGGTCCTTCTACCCAGATGCTGACCTCTGCTGTTGACGAAGGGGGGAGCTGGTGAGCAAGGGGAGGGGGGAGGGTCAGGGTGCCGCCCGTGGCCTGACCCACCCTTCCACGCAGACAGACTCCTTGCTGTCCATCCTGGGGCTCCCCCTGGACTGTGGGAGCCTTCTTTGTGTTTCTAGTCTTGATGGAAATGTCTATTAGTGTTACATTGTCACAGAACGTACAGAACTGGGACGTGATGACTCACCCTCTCCTAGGCTAATGTCACGTGCCCCTGGCGATTCTGTCATATTGCCAATGACTGCGATAGCCTTCCCCTCGGGGGCCCAGGCGGAGAGGGAGTCTTAGCCGCTCCTGTGCCCATCCTCCCAGCCCCCGCCCACTGCAGCCCCCCGCTCTCCTGCGCCCTGGATCATTCTGACGTTGGAATGCCCTGACTTGGTGCTTTATCGCCGATGCTTGGGTGGGCCCATGCCTTCCAAGGTGTGTACTCAGGAAGCAAATATCCCCTTAGCACCCTGTACCAAGAGCAGTTCTGGCGCCCCTGTTACCTGGACAGTCCCCCTGTACTCAGCCAGAAACCCTTTTGTAAGTTTCTCCGCAGTTGGACTCTGGTGGCCTTTCCAAAGAGGTTCATACTCGGGCTTTTCCTGTTGGTGGAGCCTCAGTGGTGTTTGCATCACAGCTGTAGGGGGGAAGCCAGCCCCCAGAGCTCTCAGCCAAATACATTTAGGACCAAGGCAAAGGGGCAGGATTCCTGCTGTGCCCTGTATTAGCTCTGGGGCCTCTGTTGCCTCCTCTATAAATGGGGTNGGAGCCTCAGTGGTGTTTGCATCACAGCTGTAGGGGGGAAGCCAGCCCCCAGAGCTCTCAGCCAAATACATTTAGGACCAAGGCAAAGGGGCAGGATTCCTGCTGTGCCCTGTATTAGCTCTGGGGCCTCTGTTGCCTCCTCTGGGGGNGTGGAGCCTCAGTGGTGTTTGCATCACAGCTGTAGGGGGGAAGCCAGCCCCCCGAGCTCTCAGCCAAATACATTTGGGGCCAAGGCAAAGGGGTAGGATTCCTGCTGTGCCCTGTATTAGCTCTGGGGCCTCTGTTGCCTCCTCTATAAATGGGGTTGGGGGTGAGGGGGTGAGGATCAGATGAGACTAGATATGTAATGTGCCTGGCATGGAGTAGACAGTAAATGATATCCATGTTTTATTATTATCATTAAATCATCATCACTATTTAGCCAGAAACTGGACTGAAAGTACTAAGCAACATGGAATCCACAGAGATTTGAAAATCCTTAGAGCAGAGGTTCCCAAAGCGGGGTCCCTGGACTACTCGGGTCAGCAGCCCCTGGAACCTGTTAGAAAAGCAAACCTTCAGGCTCCACCCCGGTCCGGTGGAGTCAGAATCCCTGGGGGTGGGCCAGCGCCTGCCCTTTACACGCCCTCCACGCCCTCCGGGAGATCTCGGTGCTCACAAGCCTTGAGAACCCGCCGCCTTGGCGAGAAAGCGACCCGCTCAGGTGAGAATGCGGAGGCAGGGCGGGAGCCCGGAGGCACGCAGGCCGGGTCTCGCAGACCCGAGCTTAAATGCGAGGGGCACGCTTACTCCACCATCTCTTCATCTCTCTGTGCAACAGGGACAGCGAGGTAAATGCCCGCCGCACGCAGGCGTGTCTGGTCACGGTGCGCACGCAGCAGTGCTGGTGGTTAAGAAGAAGAATCTGGGTCCAGGTCCCATCACTGTCCCCCAGTTCTTCCTGTGATCCCTCACGTGATAACGTGTTTCAGCCAAGAAAATCCATCCCTTCCCCTGCTTTTAAAGTGGGATGGTGCAGTGGTGGCATTTTCAGGAGAAGCCACTGGGTCCTCAAAGACCTCTTCAGAGTCCCCAGCAAACCACCAGTGGGCTGGAGGAGCGTGTGTCCCAGGGCTGTGGGTTCGGGGTGCTGGCCCGCGCCCCCAGGCTGGTGGGCTGCCTGGGAGAAGCGTAGTTCTCCTGGGGCCGCCCCTCCGGGCCCCCTGCTTCCCTTGTTACCTGCAGCTCAGGAGCAGCAGGGGCAGGGCTGGGCCGGGTCCACGGGCGGGGAGAAGGCAGGTCTGGGTCCTGGGTGCTTCGTTTGGGGCTGTGGGTGGGCGCAGAGGGTGGGGAGTTTAGTTTCCTTGTGCCTGTTGTCATTCCTGCCTGGGTCCCGAACCCTCGTCCGAGGAGTTCAGATCAATCAGTCAGCCTCCTCTGCGCGCTCTGCTCCCTGCCCTGTGCCGTGGTCTCTGGTTTAATTCCAGAGATGGCTCCGTATAGAACTCCCTGGAGACGTGAGCTGACTAATCCCCTTCACCGTAATTAAGGGGGGGCGGTGGTGCTGGAGAAGGGGGAGAGGAGCGAGGAAGGAAGTCATAAATGGGATTTCTAAAGGAAAGCTTTTATATTGAATTCAGAAAGCCACATTTTATAGAAAATGAACACTGACTCTCCCTAAAAGGATTTGCTGGAAATTTAATTTAGCGTCTGTGGCTAAAAGGCACCTATTACAAATGGGCATTTGTATTCATTCACCTCATGCTCTGTGAAGGTGGTTTTGCCGACCTGGAATATGGTGTTTCTGTCAGCGGAGCCCGCGGGACCACAGGCAGGAAGCGCCCCGCCACCTGGATGCTCGGGTCTGATCAGAGATGAGAGCCTTGTACAGGCACAGCCCCAGGCTGGGGAGAGGAGTCTGGAGCTCACCTCCTCCCAGTAATAATGTCAGACGTTACGGTGTGTCAGGCCTTGTGCTAAGTCCTTGTCATGAATCATTTCAATCCCCACAACATCAGTAATACCCCCATTTCACAGATGCTAACACTGAGGCCCAGAGTTAAATCACCACCCAAAGTCAAAGTCAGAAAGCACAGGGTCGGTGTTATATTCGGGCAGAGTGACCTGGGACCCTGAGCGCATCCTGTTTAGCAGGAAAAAGACAGAACAGGTTCCAGACACACTGAGGAAGGTGACAGCAGAGCTGCCCATCGCTCCCGTGTCGCTGCCATCCCAGCTCACCAAAATTATTGAAAGTAATTAAACTAATTTCCTTTCTCACTTGAGAGGACTGGAAATACTCGTGACAGTGCACAGGCTCACATTTGGGATATTATGCAGTTTAATCTCCCAAACCTGATATGAAGGGCGGCACGAAAGGATCCGCCCAGCTCGACTCTCCCAGCGTTTCCCGTGGGTAAAATTCCAGCAGCAGACACTGAGTCCACCGACTGCCCCAAGCTTTTGACGAGAGCCCTCACGTGGCTTCTACGTCATTTTTGGTCACTTCTTCCCCATGGTCCCACTTTGGAGAGGAGAGATTCCTACAAAGACAGACAGAGGGACAGGGGCCACCAGGAGCAAGGTTAAGGAGGGGGGTGGCATGGGGCTGGCCGTCGGGGATCGAGGGAGAGCCAACCTAACAATCTCCCAAAGGGAAACCACAGACATTTCGATTATCTCAGGAATTAATCCTCTCAGTAAGGACCTGACTTCCCCAAACCTCATCTCTGTGCTTCCGTTGACCTCTTACCCTGATTGGAACCGACGGGAGTTTGTCCGCGTTGACCCGGCTCGCAGGCCTCAGCCCCACTCCTCACGCGTCTCCTGCTGAGAGCCCAGCTCTCCTTACGGCTCTTTCTCCGGGCGCACAGGGCCCAGCCCCTCAGCCCGCCTCCGCTCCGCCCGGCCCGGAACGGACCCACCGCTGCCCTTTTCCTGGGCAGCCCGATACCCTGGCCATGGGGCCCCTCTCTCTCAGGGCAGCTCACGGGTGGGTCAGGAGACAGGTCATTGTCACTCATGCTGCCATGTCCCAGGAATTCCCTCTTTCCCTTTAGGAAAGAGGAACCCGCTGAGAGCTCACCCCCAGACTCCTTCTCTGTCCAGGAGCAAAGTGGTCATCTTGTTGAATAGAGAGAGGTCTTGCTTTCCCTCTTAGGACTGAGCTCCTTCCCCCAAGTAGGATTTTGCCTCCCCAACCCCTCTCACCTGCCACCTCTTTCCTGAGTGCCTTCGGCAGCACAGGGTAGGGGGGTGTGGAATCGGAGCTTTGACGCCCAAAGGGGAGACTTGCTTGGGGCCCATTATAGGCACTGTGTCTTGGGCCTAGGAGCCTAGTAAAATGTGTTTGACCTTAAATATTGGCTCTGGAGTACAAAAAGGAAGTTACAAACATCAAAATTAATTATTTTAAAACAAAAATCATAAAAATCTTTTCAAACTTTTTCCAGCAGGAAAAAAAAACGACATTCTATGTGGGAATTGCATTCATTTAGTCCACCTGATAGGAGGGGATCTGGAGCCCCCTGAGGCTGCCAGGGCCCACACTGCCCTGGCCTGCCCGAGGTTCACATCCCCGGGGGCCGGGGGAAGGCTCTGCCGGCAGGCGGCAGGAATTCGCTGCACTTGGCTGATGTTTAGCGCTGTTGACCTTACACTAAGTGGAGTGCAGTCAAGAGCCCTTCAGCTCTCTCCATATCAGACATGGAGGCAGCCTTGGGCCACTGCTTCTACCGCCACTCAGTATTAACAGGCTCGACACAGAGGACTTGAAAGTCCCCGGATCCTGCTAGCTGATTAGCATGTCCAGGATCTGGTGTTTGAAACTTGCATCAGAAAGCCCAGTGTATGATAAACTGATGGGCCTTAAACTCCTACCACCACGTCTACTGACCTGGGGTGGCAGGAGATGTGCAAGTTGGAAACCCCTGATAGAGAAACCTCGGGGGAGAATCTTCAGAAGCCCCTGGACATCCTTAGTTTGCCCCCCAGTTAGTGGAAAGGAAATTCAGACATTGAACCAGACAGGGTTCCCCTCGGAAGGGGGGCCTGCAAATCGCTCTGTGGAATCTATTCACTCAAGGGCAGGGAATTGATCTGGAATCACAGCTACTAGAGGGAGAAGGCCCGAGTCCTGGAACTGGTTAGGACGTCTTTTCAGAGATACTCAAGCCAGTCAGAACAGCAGATACACCAGGTGGACTTGAAATCGGGAAGGAGACGAAGGATGCTATGGAGAGACTGTAATGGGTTGCGGGAGCCTAGCAGGGACAACTTACTGAAATAGGAGGTCAGAGGGAAGGAAACACCTTCTCTCCTGCCCTGCTCAACCTGACTGGCGCACTCGGTGGTATTGGTTTTGGGCTCGCCAGGATTACACACGGGGGCGGTCATTAAAAGGACACTTAGGGAGAGAAAGAAAGTCTAAAAGTCCCTCAGCTCTCAGCCCCAACACCACCACTGACTGGGACATTGAGATCGAGAAGCTGTTCCAAGCCATAATAACTCGTAATAGCCCAAGTAATGAAATCTACGCCTGAGCCACCCCTGTGGAAGTTTGACTCAGATCAGGACAGTCGCTGTAACAATGTCACTCCCCCTCCTGTGCGCTGAGGCTTCCTTGAGTGAGAGAGAAGAGTGTGGAGTGACTATTAAGAAATAGAGAATGGATCAGAACCCTGGAGGCACCCATCAGCTGTGGCCTGCATACGAAAGTGACTGTCCTTCATGGGTTGGCCGTATTAGGGTGGGGGCTCCTGTGTTAGTTCATAGAGCAGAGGGACATGCTCCCCGGGGCTCCTGAGGGTTAGCATGCTCCATAAAGGGGCAAAGAGGTTTGGCCCAGTGTGTTCAGCCAGTAGCAGCGGTGACAGTGTTTTCCCTCTGTCCCTCCCTGTCCCAGGCGCCTCCACTCCAACCAGCTGTACTGCGACTGCCACCTGGCCTGGCTCTCGGATTGGCTGCGACAGAGGCGGACAGTTGGCCAGTTCACACTGTGCATGGCGCCGGTGCACCTGAGGGGCTTCAACGTGGCAGATGTGCAGAAGAAGGAATACGTGTGCCCAGGTGAGGCTGCCCCACCCATAGGCTCTCCCTGACCTGGGCGCACACCCCAGACCAGTGCTTGGGGTGGAGCCCCCTAGGTGACCCCAGCACCCTGTGGTCACTTAAAGAACTCGGGTGTCTTGAGGGGTTCCAAGAAGGAAGCTTTTGTCACCTGTTAAAGGAAAAGTCTCAGAGAACTCATGGATTGCTTTCTGTTGAGCTTCGTAGTCCACTTGTGCCGAGAAACCTCACACTTTTTGTACGTCAGCATTTGGTAAACACGTTCCTGGCATCCCATCGCTTATAGAAATTGGGAGGCAGGATAATGGAGGCCTTGGGGTCAGCCCGTGTGGCTGGAAATCTAGCTCTGCCCCTCACTATGGTGTGCCTCTGGCAGGTTGCCTAGCATGTCTGCAAAAGGGAAATAATAATAGTACAGAACTCGAGGGATGGGTGGGAGGACTGGATGAAGGAATGCGTGTAAAGCACTTAGCATCACACACAGTACTTGGTAAGAGCTATTAGCGGAGCTTCATTATTAGAGTTTAGCAGGGCTACGGAACGTGCTGAGCAAACATGAGCGTTTGATCTGTGGGCATCTGATGTGGAATGGGGCAGATTGCCGCGTGGCCCAGAGTACAGAACTGTGCACAGACATGAGGCAGAGCGAAGAGAGCTTCCCAAAGGAGGGAGGGGCTTTTAAACCGAGCTCCGAATTTGCCTGCCCGCTCACTTTTCACTGGCACCCTCCCGGCCCACCAACTCTCCCTTTTCTGGTGCAAAAATAGTAGAGCTAATCCCTTGATTTTCTAAAAAAAAAAAAAAAAA